GGGGTCACTTGCAGATCTAGAAGTAGAACGACCTCTTTCTCTCTGTCAGTAAATGATGACAGCTGTGCAGATAGTAACATTTCATACATTGGAACCAAGGGCAGGAGATATGGTGTGATTGGTGTGCTTCTTGAATGTCTCCACTTTGAATGTTATTCATGTGACTTTCATCTGCCTTGTGACTTAGGTAAAGCACTTGACCAACATCCAGGTGGATGTTTACACATCACAGTAAAGAATGACCTTGACTAACTCACAAGAATTTATATTACAGTCCTTTCTTTCATAATCATTTTTATAATCATAATTATTTAATATTGAACACTTTGGAGCTCCATGACAAAAAATCCCAACTGAGATTTTAATTTGAGGAAGAAAAATTCAGAATCATGACAGAAAAAGTACATCTAACGTGACTCTCAATACACAAACACGAATCCTTTTGTTTTCTGTGTGATTTATTGTTCATGGATAATTCCAAAGCAAAATGAAAGAGCAGATATAATGTGCAAATGTCTTTTCACATTTAAACAGCGACTGGCGCATACATATTAGATTACAGTTATACTGAGGCCTGTTCTTCTCAACATCCTCTGACATCAAATAACAACACACTTCACAGCAGATGAACCAAATACATTGTAAAAAAGTGCAGTAATGACAGCAGTAAATATGTACAAATACAAATCTAACGTGATTCTAGTGCGAATAATTGGATCAGTTTTGTCTCATCTCAATCCTTTCAAAAGTCCAACACTGTGGTAACACAAGTCATTGTTATGGTTCTTAATGATGGTGAACATGTAGCAGATGTGGTTATGTTTCACTAGAGCTGCAGACTTATTGGTCTTGGGTAAACATAGGTGCCCATCTGTCCCCAGGTGCCCATCCGGGAGTCCAGCCAGCTGCTGCAAGCGTAGTTCTGAATCATGTCCTCTCCCTCATCTCTCTCCTCTTCATCGCTGGATGCTGCCACCTCGTCCTCATCTGAACTAGTCTTTCCAGAGCTGTCTCCCCTCAGGCGAGATTTCTCATCGTCCTCATTCCTTGTGTGGCAGAGACTGCAGACCCTCAACTTCTTAGTTGGGTGAATGTGGCTTATCACTGCTCGCTGCTTGGAGCACGAATTGCAGACCAAAAAGCCACATTTCCGGCAGTGGTGTCGACGATTGGTCGCAGAGAACTTGTTGAAGCAGCGCATGCATTTGAAGGAGGCCTGGTCTGGGATCCAGGAAACAGCAAATGTTGTTGAACCAGTTTGCTGGCTGCCGCCTTGCAGCAGGCTGGACCGGCAGTCTTCAATGTGCTCAATCCAGGCCCGCTTCTCCTCATATGAAGGGGCGGACACAAAAAAAGACTTGCATGGTGTACGGATCAGCCACTGGTTCTTCAATACCATACCGTCCTCCATGTCCTCCAGCTGGATGTCCTCTGAAATGACAGTGAAGATGGCATATTGATACAAACGCAAAAAAAAACATATGGATTCTATGTTATGGTCAACAGGCTTGTCCACCAAGATACATTTCTGTTTTTCTACCTGTGATTCATGTCATGAACAATGTTAATAACGTCCCATTTCTGCACTGCAAGATAGTCTAATCCGTTATTGGATTCAACTGATAGACATTTATTTTATTGGCTGGGGTTTTGAGATATCCGCCTACATAAGTAACTACTGCAGCTGCATCAGTGTTGCGAAGGTGAACTGAATTTTGTGGTGTTAAAAAAGCATTATATTTAAAAAACTTTGTCCTGGTTTTTCAGGAGAACCTATTTTTTTGTGTCATTGTGCAGCATTCTGATTAGCAGGAATAAACTAGGTTATAGTTGCTCACCTAGAGGGATGATCTTCTGATTTTTGTACCAGCGGCGGTTCAGAAGGATGCTTCCGTACACCAGCACATCGTTGAAGAGAAAGAACATCTTAGGTTGGGGCTTCCGACGGCCCTGCTTCATCAGACGGCCCTGTCCCATCAGAATCCGACCTTGCTTGGTTAGAGACCTCCCTGATGCACCAAATGATTTCTCCACTGCTTGGATACGCTCCCGGTTCTCCCTATCAAATGTTAACAACTCCATCATGGTGACCTACTATCTGTTGTAGCACTGTTATCGCAAATGAACAATGTGACAGCTGGCTCCAGGAGTTCAGCTTTAAGATTTCTTGCATGATGACGCAGTGGGACTTTCCAAATTTAGATTGAAAACAAACAGGTTCTACAAGGAGTAAAAGAGAGGGAGAGGTGTGCGGCAGGGTGTTGAAGCACATTTAGAATTTATTTATTCAAGATATACCCGGTATTACCAAAAGTTTTGGGTCACCTACTTTACATGCACATGAAGGTTAATGACATCCCATTCTTAATGTGTAGGGTTTAATATGGAATTGGCCCACCCTTTGCAGCTATAACAGCTTCAACTGTTCTGGGAAGGCTGTCCACAAGGTTTAGCAGTGTGTTTATGGGAATTTTTGACCATTCTTCTAGAAGCGCATTTGTGAGGTCAGGCACAGATGTTGGGCAAGAAGGCCTGGCTCACAGTCTCCGCTCTAGTTCCTTTCACTGGAACCAAGGGACCAAGCCCAACCCCTGAAAAAACAACCCCACACCATAATACTTGGTGATGTAAGGCTTGGATGCAGCTGCTCGGCCATGGAAACCCATTCCTTGAAGTTCTCTACAAACTTTTCTTGAGCTAATCCGAAGGCCACACAACGTTTGGAGATCTGTAGCTCTGCAGAAAGTTGGCCTCAGCATGTGCTTTGTGATTTTATGTGGCCTACTACTTTGTGGCTGAGTTTGTGTTGTTCCACTTTGTTATAAAAACCACTAACAGTTGACCGTGGAACATTTAGTAGTGAGGAAGTTTCACGAATGAAGTTATTGCACAGGTGGCAACCTATGACAGTCCCACTCTTGAATTTACTGAGCTCCTGAGAGCGACCCATTCTTTCACAAATGTTTGTAGAAGCAGTCTGCATGCCTAGGTGCTTGATTTTAAACACCTGTGGCCATGGAAGTGATTGAAACACCTGAATTCAATGATTTGTACTGCGTGTGAAAGTTTTTCAGCAGAAGGCACTTGTAGCCTACAGCTAAATAGACAGCCAGTCTTCTGTCCCACTGCTTCAGCTGCAAAACCATGACTAACAGATGAACTGGTACTGAGTATAGTAAGGAGAAGGATGTGGGCTAGTGCTCCATATATGAGCGTTGGAAAGTACCAGCGACAGGCTCCCTGGACCTTAAGTATGTCACGTGTCTGGTTAACGTTGTGAAATGTTGCTTCAAACAAAACTACTTGGCTGGGTTTAGGAACAGATTGTGTTTTGGGTTGAAATAAGTATGTTATGTGACGTATATTTAACTTAAAGCTGCAGTCAGTAACCACTGAACATACAATGCAAAACCTTCATCGTCTCTCTCTATGTTGCTTGTATCAGTTTTAGTTTTGTAGCTGCAACATTTCACAGCGTTAACCAGACACGTGACGTACTTAAGGTCCAGGGAGATGTCGCTGGTACTTTCCAACGCTCATATATGGAATTTTAGGAGTCATTGGCAATCAACCGATTCTGTTGTTTATGATTGAGAACCTGTTGGCTTAGAGAATGTGTCGGAAAAGTCACGCCCCGTAGAAAAACTGTAATCCTGAGGCTTCCTGATCAGCTAGAAACACCCTGGTAGTTACGGTAATCATGGCAGGCATTATGCCAATGTGAAACTAAGGCAAAGAACTAAAACGCAGGACTAAGAACTAAGATAAGAGACAAGACAGAAACTTAAACATGCGAATGAACAAAAGACTAAATTAAGCTACAAAACCGTAAACATGACATGATCAAAAGAAGCTTACAGAACACAAAACTAAACCTATAAAAACAGACTCAACAGGAAAAACATCAGCACACAACCAAATCCTAACAGTAAGATGCACTATTTATTTGTAGTTAAAAAAGATTTGTCAGTGATTCATGAATTCATGAGTTTTGTTGTTTTTTTCTGTAATTTTACAATCAAGGATATCTTTATTATTCCTGATGGGCCATTCATTTTACAGACCACATATCCATCAGACAAACAATACACTTTGTAGTATTGTTTGTCAAATGAAAAAGCACCTGGACCCCATCGAATGTACGCTGGCGCTGATAGCCTTCGAACACTTAACAACCTAAAGGAAGAAGACACAGATGAGATGAGTTTATTCAGACAGCATTTTGCTCAATCAAATACCACCATCTTGTGGTTAAAAAAGCCAGTTTAATTTCCAGCAAATCAAATAAAAAAGATCAAAGTTAAACGCCAGCTCTTCATCCAGTCCATGTGGCAAAAGTGTGCTTCATTTCTATACCCAAAATGCTTTCCTTTGTAAAAGCAATAGATCAAGAGGAAGTTAGATCTTGTCTCCTACTTTTATTTTCTGAAATATGTTTTATCAAATGTCTCTTTGTCTCCCCCACATACATTAACCCACATGGACATTTTAGCGTGTAACCAACATTACATTAAAGCTCTGTCCTGAATGGGTATGCCTTTGTGCAGGTTGTGTTATTGCAGCAAGCACAGGAATAACAAGGAGAATTCAGGTAATCATTGACTTTACAATGACCAGAATGTCTTTTTGCCTCTGTTAAATGAAAAAAGGTCGACTGAACAAATCTTCAGTTTTTCCACCTGAACTCAAAGTATACCAATGTTTTAATATTGTGGATTTCATTCAGACTGTTCTGCTTTCTGTTTGAAACATTTCTTTGAGAGCCAGTGATTTTATCAGAGGCGCAAATTGTAGTACTGTTTGAAAATGTATACAAACATTCTGGACTGGATCTGAATTATATGAATGGTGGTGTTTTAAAAGACCATAGTTGTTTGTATGACACAATGATAAACTAAACTATTTCATTAATTGGAGGGTTGACATCACTAGATGTCACAGTAGTTCATTTATCCAGAATCCCAGAGGAGGCCTTACAAACGAGGACACACACAGAAGAGTTGTTTTTATTTGTATTTATTTTCATCACACTACTTTATAGGCTAACAGAAATTATAGAATTATAGTGCCAATTCTGTGGGTCTGTGCAGGATGGAAAAACAAATTCACAAGCAGATATTGTTCCTCTTGCTCCACTCTCACACATCTGCTTGCATTTTTAATCTCTCACTTTTTAATTTGAGTAACAACTGTTGCATACTGGCGCACTTTTGGAAACGATATCTCATGCTTTTTAGCTTAACTGCAAGGGGGTGGGGGGGGTCTTTTTTTGAATTAAATTCAAAAAAATGTAATTCTTTTGAATTAAATAAAAAAAAAGACAGTTGTGATGAGTAATCAGCTGTTGTGGGTTTGGCTACTAATAGGGGATTGGTCCGTAGTAGGCTGTGTAGGCGGCGATGATTCCCTGTGTGTCCATCATGTCCTCACAAGCCAGGTTGGCCTCACACACTTCTCTCAGACTGGAATGGAAAGGGGGGGGGGGGGGGGGTGATCACAGAGAGGATAAATGTTAGTCAGGATATTTCAGATGGCAATGCTTCAAATCATGCAAAATCTAATCTTTGACACTATTAGAACTATCAGTGGACTGTGTTCGATGTAAGACTCTGTATATGCTTCTGGATTGGATGCTGATATGTGAGTGTGCTTCTTAGATGTGTAAAATACCTCTCCAGCTGGGTCAGGGTTAACTCTCCAGCGGCTCTCTTCTGCCTCACCACTGTGGAGGCCTGCTCCCTCTCCACAAACAAACCTGCACATCATTCACATTTAATATCAATTTATTTAATTATTTATTCAAATCAAGCTAAGTTAATTGCATTTGGAAGATTTAGCTTATACGTAGCAACAACACCGAGAATTGTTGCGTTAAAGTCCAGATGTTGCTGATTAAAAATGTATTACTATTGAATTTCTGCAGGGTGAGGATGAGTGCAATATATGTTCAAACTCTCTATTATCAGTTGAACTTCATTGAGTTATTATTTTATGTAGGCAGCACCTGACGTTTTCTAGCCAAACTGTGGCAATCATCTCGTTCACTATTGATCTTGGAGTCAAACTGACTAAAATGTTATATATTAATATAACATTGAAAATACAGTCAAAAACCAGGATCGTACCCTCCTGAGCAGGGTTGTCAATGGCAGGCTGGGAGCCATCTGTCAAACATGAGAGAGAAAAATATAAATAAAAATGATAATTATTTTATTTCATTCTTTTATTTTCAAGTGATTCCTTTTAATAAAAGCAACCCTCTGTCTTTACTGAAGTCACATCTTTAGTAGTAGAATGAGCTTTTAAATGCATATGCAGAGGAACTTCTACTTGAAATAATATAATACAATAGTTTAAACAAAGAGCTTTTCTAACATGAACTGTGTTGCTCTTACCTGAAGTCAGACAGATGGCTGCCAGGGAGCAGAGAACCAGGATAGCCAAAGTCTTCATCTTTCAGCTTCTTTCTTTCTTTCTTTCTTTCTTTCTGCAGTATCAGGCAGCAAGTAGGACCGGAGAGGTCAACAGCTCTGTCACTCTTCTTGCTTGTTCTTTCTTTCTTTCTCTTACACACATATATACATAAATACACACTCGCTTTATAGATGCGGCCCTCACTATGACATGGGTATATGATTGGTTAGGGAATCATGTATCACACACCCACACAGATCCAGAGATACACACCTCCACAAAAAAACGTGTATACAAAAGGACGCTTTATATATTTTATGTTGGCATAAATACATATGTGCACTCAGTCACTCACACACACACACAGATAATGTGGAGTCTGCTTCCAAAAGGTGGGGCATTTTTTTAAAGCATAAGTGAGGAGAAAACAAATGTAGACAGCCACAAAACATCAGCCACTGGAAATGGCTTTCACTTGTTGTTTTACACCTCGTTTTGGTCATTTTCGGTGCTGCTGAGAAACCAGATTGTCCTTGTGAATTATCGCTTGCATGTGCATCTCAGTTTCTTCTTCTACATCTTGAAATTGAAAACTAATAAAGAGAATGCACTGCATCCTTAAACACTAAAAAGGCATAGAATGATGTAATTTAGCTGCAGATTAAAGTCACCAGACTACTTACTGTCAGATTTAGTGATAATAATAAAAAGTTCAATGAAATCTTACTTATGCAGTGCCAGCTGGCAGCCTGGAGAGGTTAGAGTTTTATGGCGCACCTACACACATTTGCATGTAGGTCACTAAGTGTGAGCAGCGATGTAATACAAACTGAAACAGAGGCTCAACCGTTCCACATTATGGGACATGATTTTAATTTGAGGGCTCTCTCTTTTATTACAAACCGCAGTGATTTCCTACATAAAGAAAGCAAAATTTAGAAACAAAGCCAGTGTGTTTGAAGATTTGCAAAAGGGCAATTTGAAATGTGGAAAGATATTTTTACCTCAACAACTGGGTGGTTTGCCAATAAAGTGGCAGAAATCCCCATACAGTAGAGTGCAACAACTCACCACTAGAAGGGTGTTTTTGTAATACTTTCATTTGTATTTTATTGCTTTATTAGAAAGGTTGATGCTGAATTACATTATCTTATGCACTGCTACTACTATTCAGCACATTAGTACATTCCAAGAACAAATCCTTTGAACTTCCTTAATTTACAAGATGGGTGGTTATGGATAAGACACATGTCTTTGGTGTGAGAGACCAGGGTTCAATTCCCCACTATGACCCATCCACCATTGTGTCCCTGAGCAAGACACTTAACCCCTAGTTCTAGTTGCTCCAGACATCTATAGCAATTGTAAGTTGCTTTGGATAAAAGCATCAGCTAAATAAATAAATGTAACGAAAATTTCCTTTTCTCTCCTGCTTCTCATATTGCTTTTTTTGACTGGACATTTAGATTTTGGACTGGTCTGGACAGTCTTATACAGGGTGTAATTTTACTGTCTGGGTCAAGGCTGGTGCCTTGTCTCGTTTCAGGGACAAACTTCAAGGATTCAACCTCAGAACAACTGTAATTGTGCACATTTGTGGCCTCTTGGCAACACAACGAAGTAAAACAAACATCCAATATGACTGTGTTTTTAGGACTGTGCCATGCTGATATCTACTGTGTGCTGACCAGCCTTTGTTTGTATGACTGTATGAAGCAGCAGTGAGGACACTGATACACAGATTTGTGGTGCATTGCACAGATTCCTTTGGAGATTACAAGAAACCGGTTTTCGACAAACATATTGAAATCTGCAGTTCTGGTGTCCTTGTTTGGACATTGGCTTGCCCCAACAAGCCAGTGGTAAATAGTGACTAAATACATTTACTACAGTACTATACTTAAGTGCTGTGTTGAGGTACCTTTATGCTATTTTCAGAGGTAAATATTGTACTTTTAACCCTGTTACATGTATTTGATAAATATAGTTTCCAATTACTTTGCAGAATAGATTGCCCCTTGTCAAATTTCAGGTGTCTACGAGTTGTTAGCAGTTCGACCAACACTTCCCCACTAAACTGGTTTCACTTCAATAACTGACTGACTCTCAAAGAAGTTAAAGTATCCAATATTTTGGGAAAAAAGCAACGCCTATTTATGGATAAAAATAAATGTTTTTTTCTTTCCATTAATCATCTCATGTGGTGGCGATGGTACAGTGGATAAGACACATGCCTTTGGAGTCAGAGACTGGGATTTGAGTCCCACTGCGACACATCTGCCTGAGTTAGACATGTAACCCCTAGTTGCTTTAGAGACATACGACCTCTGAAATATAAAGTAATTGTAAGTTGCTTTGGATAAAAGTGTCAGCTAAATGAAATGAAACGTAATGTAATGTAATGTGACATCATGGCCATCAGATTTATCTTGTAACCCTTTTGAGGGGCCCGATGCTGAGGTTGAGAACCACTGGACCAAACTAGCTAATAGTATATAAAGCAGAAAAAACTGCAAACCTCTTGACCTGCTGCTTATGCATTGATGCACTGATCACTATTACAAATCTAATAATTTACAACTTAAAATCAAATTTCTGAATGACATCACTTAAATATTTTCCTTGGCTGCTATTCTTGGTCAAGCCTTCAAAACATATGTAGCTGTAAACTTAGCCATTTTATGTTGAGGAGTCACACAAATAGAATTAGTTACTATCATTTTAACATCTGCGTTGCATTGAAAACATTGGCCCTGAGTACCAAATGTTTTCACACACTCATGTGGCAACCAAATGGCATAAACAGGATTAAGACAAAACCCAGTAAAGGGAAATTTATTTATTTTTTTCAAAGCAGGGGAAGTAATCACTGACAGCAGTGCTGGCCTGGATACAGAAGTGGGTAATGTAAGAAACGGTTAGTGGATAGTGAGCGCAACACTTCATTCAATCATGAAGCTTGAAATATGAAGCTCATAAATGCTGGGAAGGTGTGATAATAGTGGATAAAAGGTATCCTGAGATTACACAAGAGATGCGCCAAGAATTTCTATACGTGTATAATGATGGGTTTCTGTAACATCTGAGCCACTCTGTGTTTACAAAATGTGTTTTCTTCTAGGACTATGAAGAGACCACAAAAACAACTAGCCTACATAAATTATATAAAAGTCGTGATATATGGAATGAAGGAACACGCATTCATTTCCAGGCGATAATGATATCTGACAGAGAGAGATACTTTTCAGTATCGACGAGTCACAGCTGGTCTCTGCTGGGGTTGGTTTCTGGATCCGAAGTATCTCTGGTAGGCCTGCTGAAAGCCGTAGCGATAGGCGTATGAGCGGCAAGGAGAGTAGTCCTCACAGGTCTCGGCATGCCTCTCCGCTGGAGACTTTACTGTCCTGGATAGGGTGGGAGGGGAGGGAAGGGGGGGCAGATATACAAAAGCAGACAGAGACAGTTAGAGGGAAGAAGAACTGTAATCAGAAACAGATACACAACCGCCAGTGGCTTGTGTCTTTGTCTTGGTGCATTTCTTCCCAAAACTTTGCATTCGAGCATTTATCTTGAGCTTCAGGCTCTGTGTGTTTGTGCCAGTAGATGTTTTAAGCATATGTAGATGTTTAATGGTCTAATTAAGTCTTTTTTTTCTTGCCTGTATCTGTGGGAATGTGGTTTTACATATGTGCAAGACAAAGGAAGAGATACATGCTTTGTGTGCATGTCTCTGGTTGTTTGTTTTACCTCATAAAGTTATAGGAGTTGTAGCCATTCCTTCTGGGTGGGCTGTGTCCGTTGCCCCTCTGTGGCGTCATGAATGTGTTGGCTTGGTTTCGGTGCACAAACAAATCTGGAACCACAAAATTTTACTAGACAAAAATCCTTATTTTGATCAGGTCAGGTTTGCCCTTCATGTAACTAATCAGGGCCAGGTGAAATAAAGGGTGGGGTTAGTGAAGGGTAAAATGAGGATTAAGTACATGATACTGTGCGACAGGCTGCGTCATCAAAGTTAGAATTGCATGCATGTTTTTCCATGAACGAGAGACAACATTTAATCACCTTCAATGGATTCTGAGCTTTCATGAGAGTCTACGGGAAAAACATGGAATCGGGTTAATCATAAATGATGAATCACTGTCTAAATTGGATATTTAACACTTCATAAATAATGATTGCTGAACATTAGAAAAGTGAGGATGTCGGGGAGGATCTGTACCATAGCAGACGCAGAGAGAGGCTGCCGCACAGAGTGCCAGAAACTGAAGAAGGCTCCTCATCCTGGGGCTTGTTTATCTGCCTGTCTGCTGGAAAAGAGGAGAAAGGTGTTTCAGTGAGTCACGTCAGCAGCCAAGTAATAGTTAGATGAAGAGAAAGAGAAACAGAAAAAGAGAGAGAGAAAAAGTGAGAGAGAAAAAGTGTCCCAGATTTGAGGGTAAAACAGGAAAGAACCACAAGCAGGGAGAGATGCCAGAAAGGGGCACAACTTCTAAATCTGTTTCCTGAGGTTTTGTGCACAGCCAGTCACATAAACTGCTGGTGTAAGCTATCCTGTGGACGTACATCTGTACATACTGGCATGTTGCAGCAGAATTTCCACATGGGACAAACATAAACCTAAGTTGTATATATTCATAAGACCAGACTGAAGATCTACACTAAGATAAACAAGTATCCAGAGTTTTCTTAAATGCAATGGACTGGAGTCCGCACCAAACCACAAACGCCATTCAGTGGCTGGAACCTCAGTTTTGGGGAACAACCATAAGAGAGTAGCTGTGGCTGAGAATAGCTGTCTAACTGCCAAATTATTACTAACAAATAGGAGATGTGTGGTCATTATAAAGATGCAGGTATTGTCTGTGGATCTACACACACACACACACACACACACACACACACACACACACACACACATTTATTTCATAAATGCATACAGCACATGGACACAAAAAATGCACTCAGTCACATGGTACGGTAAGACACCTGTACAAACAGCTGTAAAAACAGCAATACCAGATGTCTATAACACTCCAACACGCACGCACACACACTCACACACAGTGTATTTGCATGCCTGCAATGCAGAAAAGCTTTCATCCCCGTCTTCTGTTTGTGGTATTTGGACAGGATTCTGTTTTTTTCACCGTCAATAG